AACATGTAGACAGCATCCTGTTTTCAACAATAGCCACTTACAATTTCTGATCTGCTGGCTAAAGCTTGCCATATATGGATCAAATCTTGGCCAGTTTAATAGGGACTGGCTGATATTCCATCCATCTATGGGCAGGTTGGTTGTACTGTTGATCCATTGATTGACTTCAGTACAATCAGCCTGCCGGATTTCTTGCAGGCGATTACTACTGGCGATTATAGCCACCAGCAGTAATCATTGTTTTCTGCAGACAGGGAAGGCTCCTCACCAGGAGGAACACAATAGTGCTGCGGGAGGGATTCCTCCATCAATATTGACTGTGTTGATGGAGGAACCAAATGATTATCTTTCCTGCAAACCATAGTTCCAGGAAAGAAAATCTCATCATCTATGGCTTGCAGGTGCAGTAAAGCTGTTCTAAAGGCTCAAGGTTTTTTAACTTCATGCAATCTTTAGAATTACTTTAATCAGTTTACAGCAGTCAGAAAAACAGATTATTACAGTGCAGTGAAAAGGGGTTATTTTTATTTTTGTACAGTATTTAGACATCTTATTAAAAGATATCTAAGGTTGAAACTGTTTTTTGATAAAACCACTGGAAGATTTTTACCAAAGTGAGTGGAAGTTCACTTATAGACAGATGTCCCCGTAGGAAATTTCTTTCACCTCCTGTTTTTTTTTTTCACCGACCATACATTTTTGTCGTAGTGACAGAGGTTAACCAGGACAAACAGAGAATGTGAAACCTCCCCAGCACAGACAAAAACAGTAAAAAAAAACCTGACAGAGGTTCCCTACTATAACCAAAGCTAAAAAGAAAGGAATTTAAGCTTTAGATATACTTTAAGTATTACAGCTTTCTCTGGTGAAAGTTTTGTAAAACAACAATATAGTCCAGCCATCAAGAACCAGAAACGGACTAGATGTTTTTGTGCAAAAATATAAAATTGTAAATTAAATTGCTTATCAACAAAAGCTTATCCATTCCTGTATGTCAGAGCTCATGAGGCACAACTATCAATTAAGGAAGGGATTATATACTTTCCCAGTAACCAGTATCAGGTGAAGCCCAACTACCTTGCTGGATACTTGCATTTGGTATCTCTTACACTATAGTTTTGGAAATAGAAAACATTTGCCATTTAATCAGCACTGGCAAAAGTATAAAAATGCAAACATTTATTTATTTGTATTTATTAAGGGTACTTACATAGCTCTGTCAATTTACACAGCACTTCACATATATATTGTACATTCACATCAGTCCCTGCCCTAAAGGCGCTTACAATCTAAGATACCTAACTCACATTCATACATACACATACTAGGGCCAGTTTAGACAGGAGACAATTAACTTACCAGCATGTCTTTGGAGTATGGGAAGAAACCTGAGGGAACATGAAAACTCCAGGCAGGTAGTGCTGTGGTTGCGATTTGAACTGATAACCCGAGTACTGCTAGGCTAAATGCTAACCACTTACATAACTAAAATTTTTAATTTGGTGTGTTCCCAGAACATATTTTTAAATTCAGACATATGCATATGCCCTTGTTGTGGCTAAACGGCATGGCTATTTTAATGTTATGATATTGAGTGATTTAACCTTTTGTTGGCAGTTACCACAGTGTAGCACATTGATTTCAATGTGATACCACCAAGGTGACTACTAACAAGAGATTAAATTGCTTAGTAGAATTAGATTAAAATCACACATGTAACATAGCTTTTATTGGTATAAAGTGCATTTAATACATTTATTGTTAGATTGTTATTGTAGACTTCTATTGCCTGCCGTACTCTTATTTTGCCAACAGGAATTCACTAAAAAAATATAATTATTTAAGCCACAGCGTTGATTTTACACAAACAATATCTTTGCTTGCAGATATGCAAATGGCTTGGAGCTTTCAGTACTTCAAAATGAATTGCCTATTCACCTAATTATTTAACTGTGTCAATGGGTTCTGCATTATCATATGTAATTGAATAGTTCAATATGATAACAGGTTAACATAGACACCATCCAGCAAAATTTAATAATGTACTCTCCACTTTAAATAGGGAAAGTGACACTTAAAATGTGACACCCATGTTCTTTGAATAGAAAGCTGTATAAATTTGTGTATATTAACTAGCACACCTACATCATAGTTATGCATTTCTGCTGTTGTACTGTATTTGTTATGTCTAATCCTATAGTAACTGCACAGTTAGATAGATATATATATATATATATATATATATATATATATATATATATATATAAAATACATTAGGGTCTTTGAAATATTGGCTCTGTCAATATTTAAAAGAAAAAGTGAAAAAGTAAAAAGTTGTTAGGGGAAGCATTAATCTTTATCCTTCCTGTCGCTTGAACTACCAAACTCCACTGTCTTTCAGGCCTAGTTCACACTGTTGCAATTTCAGATGTGACTTGTTGCACAGTATTGCATGACAAAGGAAATCACTTTGTTTTCAATGGTGACCAATCACATTAATGCGACTCAGCACGGAGCGATTTTGGAAAAGGTCCCTGTACTACTTTGGTGCAATTCCAGTGCCAGACGTGTGTAAACTGTGGAGAGGAAAATATAGGATAAAACCGGAGCTGCCAAGCTGGAGCCCCGAGAGGACTCTCTGACTGAGCCCTGCATGTTTCACCTGAGAAGAGATCAGTGACAGCACTGCCAGGGCAGTCTGAGGGGGGATCAGTGATGTAAGGGGATATGAATACAGTAAGGTAAGAGAGGCACTGATATAAAAGGTTCCCACTTATAACAATACCCCCTTACCTTAGTGTATTCACTCTGTGGAAGGTGGTCTGTTTCAACAGCTTTCACTGGAACAGGTGGTGAGGAGACCCCCTCACATGGGGACACCTGTCTGACTGAAAACTACTGCAAGCTCCTTTAACAAATTGTTATTTTAACCATGCATTAGTATTACGGTCTTTTTAGTAACTACTATGTCCATTTTTGATGATGTCTCTGTGCTCCAGCTGGGGAGATCCACCCTCCTGTTGCCCTGTTTACCATTCCACCAAATCCAGAACAGAAATTGATCCTGGTGGCTACCTGGGATTTGCTGGACACAGGTAACCAAACTGTTGGGTTATATTAACCTGCTCTTCATGGAAATGAGAGAAATATGCTTTTTGACTTTTCTTACAACTTAAACACATTGCTAATAGCACTATCTATGTGTTTATAGCTTAAATGTTGATATTTGCACTGTTTTCCATTTACAAAAGCTATTTATGTACTTTTTGTGTCAGTAAAGTGTTAGTAAAAATGTGGCTCTGTCAGTAAATTTCACAATTTTTTGGTGTTGTTTGTAAATTGTGGGCATCCTGTCAGTAAATCTCACTTTGGGGGGTTGACAACACTGGGCACAGAAAAATTTCTGCATGTGATCCTTGTGGTGTGAACAGGGCACATAGAGAACAATTATTTCCTTTGTGCCCTTGCAGAATGTGTGCAGAAAACTCATGTCTCTGCATGAATGAGGCCTTAAACTATAAAACGTCTGGTACCATAACTGATCACATGTGTAGCATCATGGCAGGTGCAGATAAAACAGAGGTTATTGCCTAGTACACTTGATGAGAAAATCAGACAAAAATAACTGCTTTCAGAGTTATCGTTTGATAGTCTGATCGTTAGTACACAGCTTCCGAAATCACGAGAGTTCAGACGAAAGTTTCTGAAGGAACATGAGTGAAAATTATTCTCCTTTGATAACAGAACAAAAATGTGGGATTAGTAATGAATTTGTATGAAATAAGTGGAGAGACCAAGACCACGCATGAACGGAAAAAAAGAATGAATCAGAGGAAGAAGGAGACAATGAAAACAAATATTGTGTAATATGAAAAATGTTCTGTAATACAATAAATCACAATTTGCTTTGATAGCAAACATTGAAGCCCCTTTGTTATCCCTGTGGACCCTGTAGCTCTAGGCGTAACTAGAAGAAGGGTCACACATACATAACAGAATTTCCGACATACGCTAGAACATACAGTAGTTACATATGCAGGAAGTTGTATTCTGTCATACAAGAATTTTCATGTCTTTAGTAATCCATTCATTTTTTGAGAGTAGGAAGCAAATAAAAAAAAGCGGATGACCTTTCGTCTGATTTTCTCATTGTTAATTATGCTTAAAATGGTTTCATGTTAGGTATCAAACCTAGTCATACGCACATGTCAGTTCCTACAGGTAGGTTTCTTTTCTTTTCTTTCCTCCTTTCTTTATTGGAGTGAGTATAATTATTTCATTGGCTACTCTGACTTATCTTTTATTTAGACGTCATGGCAAGATGTATGACGTACTCGTCTCCTCTCTCTGCCTAGCCATTTTGCTTATTTTGTATACCTCTTTAACCACTTGCCTACAGGGCACATATACCCCTTTCCTGTCCAGGTCAATTTTCAGCTTTCAGCACTGTCACACTTTGAATGACAATTGCACGATCATGCAATATTGTACCCATATGAAATTTTTATCATTTTTTTTAGAAAGATAGAGCTTTATTTTGGTATTGGTATTTAATCACCTCTGGGTTTTTTTATTTTTTGCTAAACAAACCAAAAACAACTGAAAATTTTGAAAAACAAATGTTTTTCTTAGATTCTGTCATAAAATTTTGTAAATAAGTGATTGTTCTCCTTCACTGATGTGCGCTAATGAGGCTGCAGTGATGGGCACTGATAGGCTGCAGTGATGGGCACTGATAGGCATCACTGATGGGCACTGATGAGGAGGCACTGGTATGTGGCACTGATGGGCATTGACAGGCATCACTGATGAGCACTGAAAGGCAGCACTCATACATGGCACTGATAGGCTGCACTGATAGGTGGCACTGACTGGCACTGATAGGCGGCACTCACTGGCAATGTTAGGCGGCACTGATAGGCAGCACTGACGGGCACTGATAGGCGGCACTGATAGGCGACACTGACTGGCACTGATAGGCAGCACTGGCTGGCAATGATAGGTGGCACTGATTGGCAGCATTGATAGGTGGCACTGACTGGCATTGATAGGTGGCACTGACTGGCACTGATAGGTGGCACTGAAAGGCATCTCAGATGGGCACTGCTATGTGGCATTGATGTGCACTGGTAGGCACTGATATGTGGCATTGATGTGGCACTAATGGGCACTGGCATTGATGAGCACTGACAGCTGGCATTGATGGACACTGACAAGTGGCACTGATGGGGTTACATTGATCATCAGGGCACACTGATCTTTAGTGCCCTGATGATCAGTGTACATGTCCCCTCTGAGGAATGCCGATTACCGGCTCTCCTCTCCTCACGAGCTGTCAGCGTGACAGCTCGTGAGGAGGGAAATGCCGATAACTGGCAGTTCCTTATTTACATACGATCAGCTGTGATTGGACACAGCTGATCACATGACAGAGCCGACGTCTTCGGCTCTTTCCATTGATCGGTGATCTGCTTTGCCACGCTGCGAGCCCCTGGAGCCGTGCATGCGTGGTTATAGTGGGAGAACGTCATATGACGTCCTCCCAGAACGAGAGAACCGGCTTGCACCCATCATTTCCTTATATGGGCAGGGCTGGGGGCGGTGGTTAAATAACTTGATGTTATTTAATGTGAAAAAAAAATGGTTGTAAAAGCTCAAGATTTTCACCTTCATGCATTATATGCCCCAATTCTAAGCCCGCCCCCAGCCCCCCAATACTTACCCGAGCCCCATTTCGATCCAACAGCATTGTGCACAAGAGCCTTGGCTCTCCAGGGACTCTCCCTCCTCATTGGCTGAGACAAACAGTGGGTGCCATTTGCTCCCACTGCTGTCAATCACAGCCAGTGAGCAAATGAGGAGGGAGAGGGGCTGAACTGGTGGCTCTGTGGGTGAATGGACATGCAGAGCAGCAGTTAGGGAGCAAGCCCGCTTGGGTGTCTAGGCCAAGAGGGAAGGGCCAGGAGTGCTGGCAGGGGACCCAAGAAGAGAAGGATCAGGGCTACTTTGTGCAAAAACCATTACAGAGAGCAAGTATGACATGTTGGTTATTTTTGTTACAGAAAAAATTGTCTTTAATATCACTTTAAGATGGCAGCTTCATTGGCTGAAAATGATAGGAGGGTTTAGTTCCACTTTAAAAAGTGTCAGTTTGTCTCCTCCTAAAGAAGCTGTCTGCAAGTGGCTTCTCTCTGTGGTAATTGGTGAGTTTTCATTCAATTAGAATGAGAGATAGAAATTAGGGTGCAAGATTGGGTGGTTGAAACCAAGAAGTTGCAGTGTGACAAGCTGATTTTCTATACTCAATTGTGTAGAAGAAAGGTGACCACCATGTAATAATTTGTTGGTGTTTTCCAATCCTGATGGAGCATGGTATTATCAGCCATGATTCCCCAGGACAAAAGATAACTCTCTTTTGGTGAAAAGTGGGAGATACATCTCTTCAGAGAAGCCTACACAAAAATTAAAAATAAAAGAAGAAGAAAACCGCCCTCACCTAATTGCTGATCTCCTTGATAAATATAAATATAAATCCGCTCTCCCCACCACTCCATCCCCCACAGCTATTTCCTCCTGTACCACTCTCCCCTCCCTCTAGATTGTAAGCTCCAAGGAGCAGGGGCCCTCAACCCCTCATGTATTTTATTGTATTGTTACTGTACTGTCTCATGTATTGCAATGATGTAAGCTCCAAGAGCAGGGGCCCTCAATTCCCTCCGTGTATTTTATTGTATTGTTACTGTACTGTCTCATGTATTGCAATTTGTAACAGCGCTGAGCAAACTGTTGGCGCTATATAAATACTGTGTAATAATAATAATAATAATAACAACACAAAGCTTGAGAAAGTACAACTGTTACTGGCTGTGATGAAAATTCAGGGTTTCCACAAGGTTGACGGATTGTCATGAAAATACCAAGATAAAACAATATATATTTTTCAAAAAATCCTAGTCTTGCCATTCAGGGGACCTGTCTAAAGTATAACAGGTATCCATTAACAAGGGGGGACATCAAAGGATAAAGAATAGTAACAGAGGTGCCCTTACAGACAGGGATAACTGAATCTCTCAAATACTATAGGCAAATGCTGGTTAAAGGCAAAATGGACATCTGTATGGCCATTTATTACAGATTCTGTCTGTAGCAATGCAAGGGATGTGATTTACCAAAACTGGAGTGTGCAAATACTTGGTATATATATCTGGTGCATAGAAACTAATCAGCTTCCATTTTTTTTTTTTGGTCAAAGCTTAAGTGAGCAAGCTCGAGTTAGAAGCTGATTGGCTACTATGCACAGCTGCACCAGATTTTGCACTCTCCAGTTTTAGTAAATCAGCCCTAAGGCCTCTTTATGTGGTAACAACAAGAATGCTGAAACACTAAATTTATGTTCTACATATAGTGTGAGACATCTGGCCATAACAGTCATTTCCAGACAAGAACCTGGGGGGGAAAATGTGCATCACCACCTAAGAAGGAATTATCACCAATATGACAGCCATGTAACCTTATTAGGCAATTATGATACTATACTTACATGATGCATTGCATTAGCAAAAAGGAAAATAGATACATATGCTACAGCTCAGTCGGAGTATAGTGGGAGAGTTTGCATGTAGATTATTGATTATTTAAAAACTGTGTAAGAACGCTCTGTACAGGACTTGCTGCATGTACATCATATTGTAAGTGCCTCCAGCCATATTACAATAATCACATTTTTTCCTACTTAGGAAAACCTTAGGTCTATTCTACAACAATGCACCGGCTGATAAAGTACCAAATGGGATGCAACGCAGCACTTACTGACTTTATATTTTATCTGCACCTGCAATATATAATATTTTATGCACTAAGATTGAAATTGAAACTGTTTAAATTTATAAAAATGTGCACAGCCACAACCAAATATTTATGATAGTTTCATATGATCATAACAATCTAGTGGCATAATGCAATATTTCCTGAAATACGGTAATCAGGAAAATGCTACATTATGGCCACTAGTAAAGAACTGTAAGAGAACCATGAACTGGCTGCACAGAGCAAGTAAAAACCTTACAGACTCACAGGTAGTCACTAGCCAGTGTCATTGTAACTGCTTAAAATACATTTTAATTTTTTTTATTCAACATTCTAAAATCTTCTAGAGTGTACATGTAATCACTAAAAAAGTAGAACATTAGAAAGAATGAGCAGAAATCTTTAAAACAACAATTTTGGATTTGCACATATTCTGTCACTGGTGTGTCAGGAGCAATAATAAGCAATTAGCAGTAAATTATAGCTAATTGTTTTGACAGTTATAGAAAATTACAGTAGCTACAGATTGAAATGGAAAGGTAATTTTTAATGACATTAAAATACAAAATGGCTCATTCAGCAATTATATATATATATATATATATATATATATATATATTTGTATACTTTTTTTTTTTGTTGACAGATGCTTCAAAAGCTAGGGCTATAATCACAAAGAAAAACCTCTTTAAGCTGACAATGGCAAAGTGCACAGAAAAAGGCATACAGTGTTAGAAAGCATCACAACAAATAGCTTAGTGCTAACCCCTTGTCTACCAGGGTTGTTTATAAATGACATTTTGTAGCAAGGGCTTTTAAACCCTCTCAAGACAGCAGTCAGCTTTCTGGAGGAAGTAATTTAAGTGGCTGTAAAGTCCACAAATCACTTCACACCACTGCCAAAGGTTTGTGTTCCCTGCCACCTAACTCTCTGTGTATTTTGAGCGCTTCTGACCCTTTTTAGGGTCCAGGACGAGCATGGCAGGCATTGGTAGGTAGGGTGGAGGGAAATTACAAATATCCAATCCTTGATTTTCATGCATTTGTCAATTTGTCAACTCATACTAAAAAAAAAAAACCATGGAGGGTATTTACTAAAACCGTTGTACCAAATAAAGGCGTTATAATCAACGTAAAAATGATTTAAGTAAGATTATTTCACGTTAATTAATGCATTCTAGAGCTGTTTAATTTGTCTAGGTATCTAGACCTTTAACTCTAATCTAAACCTCTAATGCCTTCTGGTCATGAAGAGGCTTAAAAAATCAGGCCTCCTCTCAAATCTTGGTTCTGTTGGGCAATGGCCACAAACTAGAATGCTTATCTGGGGTTAAACTAATTGCTAGCCCACACTTCTTGGTGAAAAGAAGTCTATATTTCCATTATCATTACCATATGGTAGTAAAACCAAACAAACAAACAAACAAAAAAAGCATCTAACAATGACTCAACATATAAATATATTTTTGTTACAGATAAAGACAAACATCTTCCTTTTTATTTAGCAATGTGTTAAAAAAGATAATAAAAACAGCCTTGCTAAGATTCAAAAACATTAATAACAGCAGTACCTAGGCCATGGGATTATGGTAGATGCAGGGTCCAGTTCCCATGCTGTTATTTTAATTAGTTCAATAAGAAAATGTTGTTACAATGTTTTGTCTTTGAAGGCAATCACTCTTAATAAATTAATAGAGTAATTTAGTGATCAAAGTTTGGTAACTTGACTGTACTCTAGCCATTGTATATTTGCGATAGAGAGGGTAGCTTTTATTTAATCTTTTCTTTTTTTATTTAAAAAAATCAAAAAGTAAAAAAAAAAATTGGATATGAAAAACCTCCAAATTTCTAGTTGCTATGGAATAGTGCCCTATTTTTCTTGTTTTTAAAGATAATTGTCACTACTGCTTTCAGTTCGTCATTGTATAGGCCCATTACAACTCTAGAAGATTGGCACACTACCTGCTTTCTCTAGGGGAACTATATTTTCTTTTTAAAATAATTTTTCATCTTCTAAGGCTAATATGCTTTATCTCTCTTGCTGTAGAAACAGGTGCACATAATTGCAGAAGTAAATCCAATCACTATAAGCCTTGGTTGTCATATAGTTTCTACAATCTTTTCCTGGCATCTGAAGGTCCCTGAAGGATAGTCAGTGGACTTTCAGGCTGTTGTAGCCTGTAAAGTAGAAAAAGAAAAATATGGAGTTTGATAGAGTAGTATTAATAATTTATTATATAACATTATTGCTGTTAAAAGTATATAGTCGGCAATGTAGAGATTTTCGTTGTGGCACTTGTGACAACAGTCAGCTGCTCAGTTTGTTATGATTAAGGCTGTACCTAGCTGAAACACATCAACACTGTTTGTACCGTGGTATTTCCATGGTCCGTGGATGAGTGCTGGCTTTTGCTTTCAGTTATATGATGGCATACGGGAGCCCTAGCCATTGCACAGCTACTTGCTCATAGACTTTGGATCAACCCAGCTTGATCATGGTGAGTTTGGTTTTAGATTGGAAATTTTTTCATTTTTTGAAATGGTAAAGGTTTTGGTGCATTTTGAAGTATGCTGATTGTGCCTGCTTATATATCCCCTAATTGTTTCTGATTTTGCCATGGCAATTCAAGGAGGTTGGGTTGAGGGAGACAAGGTA